GGGTGACATATTGCTTGGAAAAATTCTTTATTACAGCTGATGCTTTTCAAGAAAGCAAAATTGTGAGTTCAAATCCAGAGCCACTTTGAGGAATCAACAGATACATCACACAAGGAGCATTGTCTTCCTGATTTCGTAATTGCATCATTTAGATTGGAAATCAGCCATAATTGAAAATAGCTCAAATAGCTCATAGCAAGAGGAACCTCCCTAAAGAACTAGTCACAAAATCTTCAGACGTTGTGTATGAGGATCCATATGAAATCAGAAGAGTAATCTTTCTCTTTCAGCTGTGTAGGATCATATAGTTATTTTTAGCTATATAAAGCATTCTCCATTGAAACATTTCATTATTCCATGCAATTTTTATGCAAAAAAAAATCATCTCTATATCTGAAAATAGGAAGTGATAGAAAACAGGGCTTAAAAGAAGGTTTAGGAAAGTACAACAGGAGCACTTGCATTCAAATATTTTGCTGGCTAGCACTGACTGCAGTAGGAACAGAAAGCACTACAGGGCAGTTTCAAGAGTGCTAGCCTTGCCTGAAGGATAAATACATCACACTGAGATTTACCAAAGTACCTTTCAGGTGGGCTCCATTACTGGCTATCACACATTTTGTGATGTGATCACAACTGTCCTATGAAAAGGAAGGACCCTTGTTTTTTATTTGCATCTGAAAAAGTGGGAAACAAACTCATGTTTGGTGCAGAGCAAGACCTGGCCATCTGGGTTCCCCACAACCAGGGCTGTATTTTCCACCAGCAAATTCAAGGCATCCATCTTGAGAGGAGGAAGCTGATGATTCCCATATCCTGGGCTGCATCAAAAGGAGCGTGACCAGCAGGTCGAAGGAGGTGATCCTGCCCCTCTACTCTGCTCTCAAGAGACCTCACCTGGAGTATTGTGTGCAGTTCTGGTGTCCTCAACATAAAAAGGACATGGAACTGTTGGAACAAGTCCAGAGGAGGCCACGAGGATGATCAGGGGCTGGAGCACCTCCTGTATGAAGACAGGCTGAGAAAGTTGGGGCTGTTCAGCCTGGAGAAGAGAAGGCTGCGTGGAGACCTCAGAGCAGCCTTCCAGTATCTGAAGGGGGGCTATAGGGATGCTGGGGAGGGACTCTTCATTAGGGACTGTAGTGATAGGACAAGGGGTAACGGGTTAAAACAGGGGAAGTTTAGATTGGATATAAGGAGGAAGTTCTTTCCTGTGAGGGTGGAAGATCATCAAGTTCCAACCCCCCTGCCATGGGCAGGGACACCTCACATTAAACCATGGCACCCAAGGCTCTGTCCAACCTGGCCTTGAACACAGCAACAGATGGAGCATTCAAAACCTCCCTGGGCAACCCATTCCAGTGCCTCACCACCCTCACAGGAAAGAATTTCTTCCTTATATCCAATCTGAACTTCCCCTGTTTCAGTTTTAACCCATTACCCCTTGTCCTGTCACTACAGTTCCTAATGAAGAGTCCCTCCCCAGCATCCTTATTGGCCCCCTTCAGATGCTTGAAGGCTGCTCTGAGGTCTCCACACAGCCTTCTCTTCCCCAGGCTGAACAGCCCCAACTTCCTCAGCCTGTCTTCATACAGGAGGTGCTCCAGTCCCCTGAGCATCCTCGTGGCCTCCTCTGGACTTGTTCCAACAGTTCCATGTCCTTTTTATGTTGAGGACACCAGGACTTGTGTATTACGGTAAGACAAAACCAATCCCATGTATCCTACCTATCTCAGTGATATGTAGTCAAGAACTGAGGCTTTTGTTTCCATGTATTACTGAAGTGAGAATTGCAATGGATTGTTGATATGCTATCAGAAGCACAGCCTCATACATCAGCTTATTTGCAGGTTTTTATGGCACTGTATTTTATAGCAAACTTCCTGCTGCTCTGGTGTCAGTATGTGTAATAGAGAGTATTTTGTACAGAGGCCATTTGCATTTTGGCAGCTGCAAATAAAAGGTGCCTGTTATCAAACCTGAAGACATGTGTTTTCATGTAAGTTAAAGAATATTTACTGTAAATGTCAGAAATGCACCAGTAAGCTCTAATCGGTTAAGCCTGCCCAGAATTGAAAGCCAAGTTTGTGTTAAAGATCCACACTAGGAGATTAAATTGTTGTAGATAAATTTAACTACAGTGCATTTAGTCCTCCTTTTTCTTGAATCTCCTTGACATCATCCCTAGATTTTCTATTCACCGTGTCATAGACCAACTAAGGCTGGATGACCCGCTTCCTTGTTCAACGCAGGGTCAGAGAAAACAGGTTGCTCAGGAGTGTGTGCAGCTGGGTTTGAATATCTTGAAGAATGGAGGAATCTATAACCTCGCTGGGGACCAATTCACTGCATGACCACCCTCACGGTGACATTCCTTTTTGTTATGTTTAAATAGAATTTACTGCATTTCAATTCATGCTTGTTGCTTCTTGTCCTGCCATGAAGCACCACTGAGAGGAGTCTGGCTCTGTCTTTACTCCAATCCATCAGGTTTTTGTACACATTGATGAGATGCCCCTGAACCATCTCTTCTGTGGGCCTCTAATCTTATGAGAGATGCTCCAGTTCCCTAATCATCTTAATGGCTAGGCTTACTTCAGTATGTGCATGTCTCTCTCGTACTGGGGAGCCTAGAACTGGAACCTGCAACCCAAGTGTGTCTCACCAGTGCTGAGTATAGGGGGAGGGTCACCACTCTAGACCTGCTGGCAGCGCTTATCCAAATGCAACACCAGGATGCCACTGGATTATGGTCAGTTTGTTCCCCAGGAGCCCCAGTCCTTTTTCTCCAAAACTGCTTTCCAACTGCTTACACTTGGTCTGTACAATGGTCTTATTTTTCAAGAATTTAGAAGGCAGGATTATGATCCTGTAGCCCCTTTCCAATAACCGTGTGTGATCGCTCCACAGAGCACATGCTATTGTTTTTGCTTTTGTTAGGAACAGTCAAGCTGTGAATAGCAATGTTCAGGCTTACATTTCTTTATTAACACATGAATACAATCAGTTGTATTTACCATTGTCCTCCAGTTTGTTTGCTCTTCTCAACGGCTGTTTTGAAAGCTTCTGATTCTGGACTCTGGCCTTTTGTCTTTCCTTCCTCTATCCTAGCTCTGTGAACTTTTGCAGAAAGAGGACTCTATTCCTTCTGTCTCTAGACCCAAGCTATGTTTTTCTATAGGAGGAAAATTGAAATATATGAGCAGAAATCATGAGTTATGTCAGCTATTGTGATTTGGTTACCATCTGTATCACAGCCAAAATTAAAAAATAGGTACAGCCTGGAAGAAGTGTAATGAGTAGAGTATTAAACCAACAATTGGCCTGTTTGTAGCTGGCCTGTATTTCTCTTCATCAGATGAGGAGAAACAGTAGATGTGAAATATAGTGACTCCCAGCAAACAGACGAGAAGGACAGGATTATGGGCTTTTGTACCCTAAGTGATCTATATCTCCATTAAGACCTCTCATAGGCCAAACAAGGAAAACAGTTCAAGAGGAATTTTGATTTTACTTCAACCCATACTCCTTTCCCTTTTTATAAACTTTGTGATTCAAAGGATTGAAAGAAGCCTTTTTGGCAAATTCAGCTAAGGAACATAGAAGAAGATTAAGGGAAGACACTGGTAAAGCAGAACATGATGAGGTCCACTTAAGGTAGGTTACAAATAGCTGGTGTTAATTTACTTCTGATAGCTGACATAGTCCCACTTATGATGTGCAGTTCATGTACAAGCAGCAAGGAAACCAGCCTGTAATTTCAAGTGGAAACTATAAGAAATATAGACACTTATGAGACTGGAGCTCTCTGCTGAGAGATGTATCAAAAAGCCTGCTATGAATTTGCTCTCTCACCTTATGTTACAATCTGCTTAAGTAAGTCATTAGCTAGAAGCAGTAAATGAATAAAATTGGGATGGTGGGGGCAAAGAAACATATTGATTCACTAGTCTGGTTTCAAAGGTAACACTGGGCCTGCACTTACCGTTAAGATAATTTCTAATATGGGCAGTAGGACAAAATTTCCAGGAAACTGAAACTTTGGCATTCCTATATAATCATTCTGTAATGATCAGTCATAAAAATATTGCATAAGGAATCAGACATACCTGAACCAGACTGACCTTGGGACCCTCCCCTTTTCACAAGTGCAGAGTATAAATTCTGATGCTCTGCTTTATTGGCATCTCTTGACAAGATGGACATCACCAAGATCTTGCTTTGGTTATTCCTCTTTAATTCAGCACTCCTGGATGCCATCTCAGGTAAACCACTTATAATCTTTAAAGAACATTCTTCTGAAACAGGTAGTTAAAAAAGGGATTTCTTATGCCTCTACACTGGTTCCATACACGGAATTCACATGCTAGTCTAATGAACTTTGTGCAAAGATTAGAAGCAAACCAGACTGAAATTAGGTAGCATCATGTTCTCTTACTAAAGATATGACCCAATTGATATCATAATTAACTATTATCCATGTTGAAGTAAATTTAGTACAATGAAATAAATACTGTTCCTGTTTGCAGTAGCGTCTTGTAGCACAGTATAAACTAAATTAGAAAAAATACTACCATGAAAATACTACTGAAATACTTTGTTCCTCTACATGTGTGGCTTTTAGTATGGGATTAAGAGGGAATATAATTTCTTCGACTGCAATTCCAAAATTGACTCTGTGTTGGAGACATCTTCAAAGATTGTATTTCTCTTCCTTCCACCATGGATGACCAGCCTTTTAAGACACACAAGATGTGCACTGCTCGTTTGATGACCTGGCACCACCATTCCCGGTGCTGGAAGAATCCATGGCCTTCATCCATCTGCATGGCACCCTCACATGCTTCTTTCTCTTTTTCCCCTACAGGTGCCACAGCCTCCACCACAGAGAGCTTCATAACATCCGTTCCTCCAGGTAGGTCTCCATTTCCCATGGTTTTCCTGGCCACATCTTCTGGAGTGCCAGTCAGTGGCTCAGAGGCTGGACTTGGACCTTCTCCATGGGAGAGCAGGGTGAAGAAAAGGCACAGCCTCAGCAAGCAGAGGATGGCATTCCTAGAGCTTTTCCCACGTTTTCCCTGTCTCCTCCTTTCCCAGGTGCCTCCCTGAGCTTGGTGAATGGTAGAAACCAGTGTGAGGGGCGTGTAGAAATTTCACACCCTGGGGGCCGGGGCACAGTCTGCGATGACAGCTGGGACCTGAAGGATGCCGAGGTTGTGTGCAGGCAGCTGGGATGTGGCTTTGCTGTTGCTGCAACGTCCAATGCCTACTTTGGACAAGGCACAGGCAGCATCTACCTGGACGATGTGCGCTGCACCGGGAACGAGTCCTCCCTCTTCCAGTGCAGCCACAATGGCTGGGGTGTCCACAACTGTGTCCACAGTGAAGATGCTGGTGTTGTCTGCTCAGGTATCATTGCTTTTCCTTTGCAAACTTCAGGAGACTTTCAAAAAAGGGTTCTTGTGGGCCACAATTAGCTTTTTTGCGGGGCATATTCCAAGAGTCTGACTTTGTTGCTTCCGCCATGGGCGACCAGGCTCCTGAGACACACAAGATGTGCACTGCACGTCTGATGGGCTGGCACCAACATCCCAGTGATGGAAGAATCCTTGGCCTTCATCCTTCTGCATGGCATCCTCACATGCTTCTTTCTCTTTTTCTCCTACAGATGCCACAGCCTCCACCACAGAGAGCTTCATAACATCCGTTCCTCCAGGTAGGTCTCCATTTCCCATGGTTTTCCTGGCCACATCTTCTGGAGTGCCAGTCAGTGGCTCAGAGGCTGGACTTGGATCTTCTCCATGGGAGAGCAGAGAGAAGAAAAGGCACAGCCTCAACAAGCAGAGGATGGCATTCCTAGAGCTTTTCCCACATTTTCCCTGTCTCCCTCCTTTCCCAGGTGCCTCCCTGAGCTTGGTGAACGGTAGAAACCAGTGTGAGGGGCGTGTAGAAATTTCACACCCTGGGGGCCGGGGCACAGTCTGCGATGACAGCTGGGACCTGAAGGATGCCGAGGTTGTGTGCAGGCAGCTGGGATGTGGCTTTGCTGTTGCTGCAACGTCCAATGCCTACTTTGGACAAGGCACAGGCAGCATCTACCTGGACGATGTGCGCTGCACCGGGAACGAGTCCTCCCTCTTCCAGTGCAGCCACAATGGCTGGGGTGTCCACAACTGTGGCCACAGTGAAGATGCTGGTGTTGTCTGCTCAGGTATCATTGCTTTTCCTTTGCAAATTTCAGGAGACTTTCAAAAAGGGTTCTTGTGGGCCACAATTGACTCTGTGTTGGCGACATCTTCAAAAGATTGCTTTTTTGTTGCTTCCACCATGGACAACCAGTCTCCCAAGACACACAAGATGTGCACTGGAAATGTCATGGGCTGGCACCAACATCCCAGTGATGGAAGAATCCTTGGCCTTTATCCTTCTGCATGGCACCCTCACATGCTTCTTTCTCTTTTTCTCCTACAGATGCCACAGCCTCCACCACAGAGAGCTTCATAACATCCGTTCCTCCAGGTAGGTCTCCATTTCCCATGGTTTTCCTGGCCACATCTTCTGGAGTGCCAGTCAGTGGCTCAGAGGTTGCACTTAGATTTTCTCCATGGGAGAGCAGAGAGAAGAAAAGGCACAGCCTCAACAAGCAGAGGATGGCATTCCTAGAGTTTTCCCCACATTTTCCCTGTCTTCTCCTTTCCCAGGTGCCTCCCTGAGCTTGGTGAATGGTAGAAACCAGTGTGAGGGGCGTGTAGAAATTTCACACCCTGGGGGCCGGGGCACAGTCTGCGATGACAGCTGGGACCTGAAGGATGCCGAGGTTGTGTGCAGGCAGCTGGGATGTGGCTTTGCTGTTGCTGCAACGTCCAATGCCTACTTTGGACAAGGCACAGGCAGTATCTACCTGGACAATGTGCGCTGCACCGGGAACGAGTCCTCCCTCTTCCAGTGCAGCCACAATGGCTGGGGTGTCCACAACTGTGTCCACAGTGAAGATGCTGGTGTTGTCTGCTCAGGTATCATTGCTTTTCCTTTGCAAATTTCAGGAGACTTTCAAAAAGGGTTCTTGTGGGCCACAATTGACTCTGTGTTGGCGACATCTTCAAAAGATTGCTTTTTTGTTGCTTCCACCATGGACAACCAGTCTCCCAAGACACACAAGATGTGCACTGGAAATGTCATGGGCTGGCACCAACATCCCAGTGATGGAAGAATCCTTGGCCTTCATCCTTCTGCATGGCATCCTCACATGCTTCTTTCTCTTTTTCTCCTACAGATGCCACAGCCTCCACCACAGAGAGCTTCATAACATCCGTTCCTCCAGGTAGGTCTCCATTTCTCATGGTTTTCCTGGCCACTTCTTCTGGGTGCCAGTCAGTGGCTCAGAGGCTGGACTTGGATCTTCTCCATGGGAGAGCAGAGACAAGAAAAGGCACAGCCTCAGCAAGCAGAGGATGGCATTCCTAGAGGTTTTCACACGTTTTCCCTGTCTCCTCCTTTCCCAGGTGCCTCCCTGAGCCTGGTGAACGGTAGAAACCAGTGTGAGGGGCGTGTAGAAATTTCACACCCTGGGGGCCGGGGCACAGTCTGCGATGACAGCTGGGACCTGAAGGATGCCGAGGTTGTGTGCAGGCAGCTGGGATGTGGCTTTGCTGTTGCTGCAACATCCAATGCCTACTTTGGACAAGGCACAGGCAGTATCTACCTGGACGATGTGCGCTGCACCGGGAACGAGTCCTCCCTCTTCCAGTGCAGCCACAATGGCTGGGGTGTCCACAACTGTGTCCACAGTGAAGATGCTGGTGTTGTCTGCTCAGGTATCATTGCTTTTCTTTCCTAAATACCAAGACACTTTCAAAAACGATTTCTTGTTTGCCACAATTGACTCTGTTGAAGACGTAGTCAAAGAGTGTGTTGTTTGTTGTCCGCACAGTGGATGACCAGCCTGTCAAGGTCACAGGCTCTCCACATTCCATCTGATGGGCTGGCAGCATCATCCCCAGTGCTGGAAGAAGCCATGCCCTTGCCCCTTTTTCCACAGTGTTCTCATCTGCTTCTTTCTTTTCCTTCTCTGCAGATGCCACAAATATTACCAGTGTTCCCACTCCACCTGTGACTACTCCAGGTTCGTGTTCTATTTTCATTTATATGGTGCATTACTGTTGAGATGTATTATTTGCAAGATTAGATGTTGGAGTCATATCATTTGCACATTGTAATGCTTTTGGGAAAAGCCATTTTGGGTGCTGTTTAAATCCTACATGCATCTCCCCTATGTCTGTCTGATTATTTTCCTGGTGATGGATTTCAGACTGTTGATTTTGGGGGAGAAATATTTTTCTTCACTATTTTTTTTTTTGTTATTTGGCTCAGCACCACTTGTTTCCTTTCATACCCACTTATGTCTTAATCTTACCAGCAAAATGGAATCGGAGAGTCAGAGATCTCTGAAGAGATCATTCCACTTGTAGCCTGAGTCAGCATAGCACCATTTTTCAGTTCTCTCTCTAGAGATATATACTCTTGGAGCTGTGGCTGGATATATAGAATATATGTTCATTTTATTATAAATCAATCTAAATATGTAACTTTTTTTTTTTTTTTTCCAGCTAAAAAATATATTTGTGGTGGCTTACATTATCCAGATAATGCAGATTGTTTGTGGCAAATACAAGTAGAGAATAATTTCCGCATTACACTCACATTTAGAAACATTCAGTAAGTAAACTGCTTCTTGCTTGAGCAATAAATGGGTCTCAAACCTCAACTGCAACCACAGTTATAATCATAGAATAGTTAGGGTTGGAAAGGACTCTAAGATCATCTAGTTCCAGCCCAAATTCCCAGGCACATATCCCATGAATATAATTTGCACAGCAATTGTGTGAATGAAGTATTTTCGTTTATTATTTGTTATTTTTTATTATTTAATTTATTTTTTCGCATTTAGTTTATTATTTGTCAGCACTTGAAACCTGTGGGTTTTAAATGTATTTTATTATACATTCATGTTTCTTCCTCAGGTTGCAAGGTGGATGCCAGAATGACTATATTGAGATTTATGATGGGCCACCCAACACTTCTCCTCTGCTTGGAAGAATTTGTTCTAATTATGGTCTTACGTACACATCATCGTCCAACTTCATGGCTGTCAGATTTCACAGTGACTCCAGGTATTCCGGTAGAGGGTTTCATGCTGAGTATCGGTCCATTCCAACAGACCATGCCACCAGTAAGTTTCCATTCTGCTGGTAATATTTCTTTGCTTAGAAGCTTTTATACCCTAATTTTATTTGCTAAATAAGTATTAATGTTGTTGCACATAGGTGACATTCCTACTTGAATTTCAAAATTATCGCCATCAGAGAATAATATTTTTTCCATTTAAAAAACATTTTAAGCATCAAATTCATTGCCTTGAGATGTTTTCTACAACTGTCAGTCTAAAATCATATTTCTTCTTATCACAACATTATTCATATATTTTTTTTCCTACCTTTGTGGGCAGATTTTCATGGAATCATAGAAATATTGCTTAGAAAGGACCTTTGGAGGCTTCCTAGTCCATGTATTCAAAGCAGAGCTGCTCCCTGTCATCAGATATCTCTACTAATGGCCAGACTCTCCCCCACATCACTGTTTTTCACGCCATGTACTCAGTAACTGTCATGATGACCTAAAGGTCCTTTCTGACCCTAACTTTTCTATGATTCTATGATCCCCTTACTTATGCAGTGTTTCTGTAAGCCATTGTGTACTTTTGGCTCTACACCTTCCATAGTAGCTTTTGGATTATTGTTCAGAAAAAAAATCCCACTTTTTAGCATTTTTATGTATACAGGTGATACAGACTCAAGGGCTCAGCAAAAGCCTATTGTAAGCTACATATTTTGGTCAGGTTAGTAACTGACAGTTTGCTGAAGTTTGTCAGAGGCTCCTGCTTATTCATGTCTAAGACGTAAAAATAAGTGGTTTGGCTTATGAATTCTCTCCCCTAAATGGTAGGCTATTGCATTTGTTGAAGCTGTAACAGGCATTGGAACAGGCTGCCCAGGGAAGTGGTAGAATCACCATCCAAAAACTGTGTAGACAAGGCCCTTAGTGACATGGTTTGGTGGTGGCCTTGGCAGTCCTGGGGCAACGATTGGACTAGATGATCATAAAGGTCTTTTCCAACCTAGCTGATTCTATGGTTCCATGCAAATATTGTCAAGTACCTGAAAAAAATTGTAATTCATATTTTCTTCTCTAGCTCTTGTATGCTTGTCAACATACATGCGCGCAGCAGTGGACAGGCGTTATCTCCAGTCACAGGGCTATTCAGTGTGGAACATCAGCTTGTCTGACCCTTATTGTAGACCAACATTTACATCAACTGAGGTTATATTCCACATTCCATACAATGGCTGTGGTACACGTAGACAGGTAGGTGTCAACATATTTTGTTGTTCTCCAGGTTTGGGCTTGGGAATTTAATAGACATTTGCAAAACTGTAATGAATTGCAAATGGTGTTGAAGCCCACAGGCATTCAAAACACAGAGAAGAATTGTGCTTCTGGAGGCTAAGATTTCTTAAACATTCCTACTTATCCTTCCCAGTGCTTAGGCAGTTCCTGTATCTATTTCAGAGTGATGGTCTAGAGAACAAAGTATAGGAGAGAGTTAAGTGAACAAACCCACCCATGCTGCTTGGGGTTTCTGAGTATGACACGTTCTCTCTGACTAATATTAGGACCTGGTACAATGCAGAACTTCACAGTGCACACTGCGAACATGACTACATGCAATGATTTTGTACTCGTTTAATGTGTTGAACAGGGCAACAACGAAACGATCACCTACTCCAATGTGATAAGAGTGCCTGCTTTCGGTTACATCATCAAGAGGCAAAGTGACCTTTACTTGAGTGTCAACTGCAAAATGCTCCGGAACACCTGGGTACAAGCAATGTACATTGCCAATGACACCATTAATGTCAATGAAAGTCTGTCCCAGTATGGCAGATACAGCATGAACCTGACATTCTACAATTCCTCATCTTTCTTGTGGCCAGTGCATGACTTCCCATACTACGTTGACCTGAATCAGAATTTGTTCCTTCAAGCTTCCCTTCACAGCTCTGACCCAAATCTGGCGGTGTTTGTGGACACATGTGTAGCATCACCTGATCCTGACAACTTTAGAACACTGGCTTATGAATTGATCAGAAGTGGGTAAGGACTTTCTAGAATGACTTAAGTATTTGCAGGCATAGTTCTGAAAGAGCTTCATTTATGAAAGAGGTGACTGAGGGCCAGTGTATGTTGGTTGCAATTCTCAATACAAACATACTTCTAAGAAAGACCTTTTGGGAAAGCCTGAAGAAAATATAACAAAAAAATGCCATTCAGAAGTTGCAGTCAAGCACTGAGCACACTCAAGGAGGCAGCATAGAAACTGAGGTCTGAATGTGTTTCTGAAATAGATACATGAATTGTTGGGATGTCAGTGGTTCTATGTTTCCATACAGCAGAATTAGGATTTCACAGCATCATAGTTAGAATGCAAAACAGTCCGTTCAAAGAGAAGAGAAATTCCTTAGCCTTCCTTTGCTACTCTAGAAACCTAAAACATTTTGCTTAATTTGTGCCTTCTGATTTGAAATGGAAAAGTTGTAGATTCTTGTAAAGGATGCAAAACCGACAAGGAGCTAAAAGCATAAAGGTGTGGCTCTCAGTGTCCCGTTTTGTTCCAGGAATGAAAAACTCATGGTAGCTTATTTGTCTTCTGTGCTTGGTGGGATTGTAATTTCTCTGTCTCCTGGGAGGGTGTTCACACCAGTAACCTTAGCAGTGTGGTAACCTACTGATAAACTGTAAGTCAGGCTTATGACAGGCTAATGAAAGGACACAGTGCCTCCTGCCTGTTGAATGAATGTCCTCCCTTTTACACTTGAAATGAATCTTAGGAAGGTTTTGTCCTCTTGTTGGGTTTTCTTTTTATTTTAACTATAAAAACACATATCAGCAAGTTGGACACAGAAGGATTGCCTACCTTTGTGAGCAGGACACTCACCAGGGAGATGGAGCAAATAGAGTCTGATAATTTTCCTGATAATTTTATTCATGTGACATGGAACTGTGCCAAAAGCAAACGTATTTCATAGAACCATAGAATGGTTTCGGTTGGATGGGAGGTTAAAGCTCATCCAGTTCCAACCCCCTGCCACAGGCAGGGACACCTTCCACTAGACCAGGTTGCTCCAAGCCTCATCCAACTGAGCCTTGAACACTAAGTCACTAACATTATAAAGATCAGGTGTGTTGGGATACCACTGCAGTATAAAAGAAATTAAGAATGAGAAGACTTAAAACTCTTGGTGTGCTCATTAGGGAAATGAGCGTGAATACAAATAAAGACAACTTTAAAATATTCTGGGGTAAAAATTGTGGGTGAATTATGGTGATCTTTTAAAATTAAACCGGAATGACCAGGATCCAGGTCAGGTAACTTCTAAGGCTAGAAATTGTCAGGAAGTGAAACTCGTTGGCAGGAAAGTTAACCGAGAAGCTTGCCCTGTGAAACGTCTGGAGACCTCAGTGAGGAGTCCAGATTCCTCAAGGAAGGTACTCTACATACACTGAAAGACTGAAGAGCATGCTTATTTTCCAGAATAAAATGTATATTGGAATTAGTTTTGTCCTTCTAGAACAGAAAGGGGCCCTTCCTCTTTCTGCACCAAGCTGCAGGGGCCTCCTTGCAGTAAGTGGGTAATCCTGTTTGCAAATGCAACCCAGCTCCTCACCTGAAACACAGAAACCAGCAGAACCACTAGTTATTTTTCAGCTATTCTTGGTTTAGCTATTTTTCACCTATTCTTGTTTACACAAACTTTGTTGAGCTATGAAACCCCTGTATCGCATGCATTACTGTGGTAGAAATCACTGCCACTCTTACGTTCGTGTCTTAATTGTTCTTGTTGCTAAAACCACTTTTTATCATTTTGAGTTCTCTTACACTTCCACCTTCTATTTTTATATTTAAGCTCAGAAATACCGCACAGAGATAGTGTAATATTGATTTTTTTCACAATAGCTAATCTGTTCATTTTATGTCTTCCTAGGTGCGTCAAGGATCCTACCTACTCTTCTTACTATTCACCATACAGCAGTGTTGCTCGGTTTGCCTTTAATGCCTTTTCATTTGTTAATCGATACCAATCAGTTTACCTGCAGTGTGATCTGGTGGTGTGCAGGGCCTATGACTACTCTTCCCGCTGCTATCAAGGTTGTGTTAATAGATCCAAGAGGGATGCAGGCTCTTCCCAGGAAAAAATGAGTGTTGTTATTGGACCTGTCCAGCTTCGGGAAGCTCATGCTGAGAACAGGAATGCTGGTAAGTTTAAATAACTTAGATAATGTAAGACTCTGTGTATTACTGTATGTTTGTGTGTCAGACATGAAATCCAGCTCTCAAATATGCCTTTGCTGGTTTATCCACCACTCTGCTCTAATTCTTCCGTGGAATTTTTTATTACTTTTTAAATACAATTGCTTTGTAAAGTTTACAACTGCTTCCTTTCTATCACAGTTTAGATCCATCATTTATTCTGCACATGTCAAATGGCAATTTATTCAGTTCTGTGGGAAGAGGGATGAGATGCAACTCATCTCCCTGCAGGATTATATTACTTTTTCAAAGCTGCCTGTGCCTGACTGGCATGTCACGTTTATTAGCAACCAATCCATAGGTCCCCTTGGAAATCGTGTTCCCCAGTGTCCTGTAGCTGCTGTTTCCACTATAAGAAAGCAGCATCTTATGGTCTTAGAGTATAATCATTACAAACTTAGTTGCTCTTTAACTTTTTGCTATAATCTTTACTTGTTTGGCGTGGGCACAGAATCATTGGTGACACAACGTACAATAAACCAACTTGGCTTCTGGTAATCTGGCAAAATCCAGATTGCAACATTTTGGTTCAAACTCTCTTTGCCTAACTACCTTTGAGATTAACCAGCTCAGGAAAACAAATGTAAACCTCTTTCTTTCCCTTTTATGCACAGAGCTGGCATCTGACATCAAGGTGGAAGGGGAGTCTCAGGACCCAGTGACCGCTGCCAGCTCTCACGTTCCTCTGGCTGTGGCTATTGTGGTGTTGGCTGCTGCTGTTCTCACAGTGGGGGGATTTCTTTTGAAGCGTAAGCTGCAGGAACCCATCCCGTACCAGATAATGTGAGAGGCACGCCAAGACCTTCCAAGGTGGAAGACCACATTCAGCAGCCATCTGCCTCACTGTTTGGTTTTGCAATCTGTGCAGAGGGTAACTCTCACTTGACTATTCCACCCAGATTTTGTTTGAAGGATCTGTATCAAGATTCAGATTGAAAATCTGTATCAAGAGAACACCAAGTCTTACCATGAGCTGAACCTATAAAGGAGCCTGGCTTTAAATAAAGTACAAATACACTTCAGGTCTTAAGACAGGTTGATTCTTCCATCCCAGCATCCGAATAAGGTACCATTTTCAACACTGGACATTTCAGAGCATCTCAGTTGAGCTCCTGTATGAGTGTCTGTCTGAGAAGACTGATGTAAGTGACTTGAGAATGAAGAACTGACTTATTTTGCCTTGCTGATACGCAGATAAAACCCCTGTGTAGCACCATAAAATACTCTGGAAAGCAGTCTGAGACAAATGTTTCTTTGCAGTAACGATACCTTAACAATGAACCATGCTCCTGTGCAGCATTCCTTATTTAGGGGGTGTGGTTCTTCACAATTACTTATTTCTATGGGAAATGTAGGCCATTTATAAGATTTTGTATAGAGGACAAATATAATCAAATCTGTTACGTGAACGTGTAATTAAGAAAAAGCAGGAAAGAAAGGACATGGAGCTGTTGGAACAAGTCCAGAGGAGGCCACAAGGATGATCAGGGGACTGGAGCACCTCCCGTATGAAGACAGGCTGAGGAAGTTGGGGCTGTTCAGCCTGGAGAAGAGAAGGCTGCGTGGAGACCTCATAGCAGCCTTCCAGTATCTGAAGGGGGCCTATAGGGATGCTGGGGAGGGACTCTTCATTAGGAACTGTAGTGATAGGACAAGGGGTAATGGGTTAAAACTTAAACAGGGGAAGTTTAGGTTGGATATAAGGAGGAAATTCTTTCCTGTGAGGGTGGTGAGGCACTGGAATGGGTTGCCCAGGGAGGTTGTGAATGCTCCATCCCTGGCGGTGTTCAAGGCCAGGTTGGACGCAGCCTTGGGTGCCATGGTTTAGCGTAAGGATGCCACCGCCGGGGCAGCCAGAGCAGAGCTCCCGGACCGGGCCCTGACCATACAACGAGTGCTCACCATCCCGCTCGCCTGCCCGCGCAAACCGCCCCGACCCGCTCTGTTCCCCGCGCTCCCTGGGGCAGGTTTTTAACCGCTCAGGGCTGGTGCCGCTGCTTCAGGCTCCATCCCCTGTGAGTCAGCTGCTGGCGTCAGCAGAGCTGCCGGCTCCTGGGCAGGTCCCATCGAGGACTCGAGGCTCCCTCGGTGGCTTTTGTTGCTCTGAGCTGAGGCTCCTCGATGCTGATCTCCCCCCCTGCTCCTGTGTTGAAGGAGTCCTCTCTCGAGCTACTCACCTCAGCAATTGACCCTATAACTCTAGTGACTCAGTCTACTTAAAACTTACTATTTAAAGCTAAATAACTAATAGCTCTCAACATCTGAACTCCCAGCCAAGTTATTGTCAGGAAGAATGCGGCTTCTGACAAAGTGACTTTGCCAAGTAATGATTTCTGCTCTGGTTCTTATGCATTCCTACACCTGTAACGAGGGGGAGAGAAAGAATGTACGTAAGCTGCCATAAGGAAGCGTGGCCTCTCCTATCCCCATGTGAAAACAAAATGAAGAAAAAATAATAAAGGAAGACTCTGTTTGGGAGCAGGTACTTAATACAGGTGGAAAGGTCATTGGTATTTGATTGAGAAATGCTCTACTTTAGCCTTTCTTGTTTACTAGCCAGCTATGAAAGAGGGAAGTTCCTTGGTAAGAGGATAATGTCCTATGTGTGAGGTGAGCCAGGGACAAAGTGGTGACGTGTAAGGAAGGTGGGCTGTACTCCAGCGTGACATCCTGACCTGACGAGGAGGATGAGGGCAGCTCTGATGGGAATCAGCTTTACAGCTTGTACCATTCCTTACCTCAAGCTGCCTTCTGGTGATTCCATGCAGGCCTCTCACCACCTCTCCATGCTGTGGAGAAGGGACCATACAAGGAGGGGCTGGCATTGCCCACAGACAGTGGAAGTTAATTTTTAATACACATGAGGAGCAAGGCTTGAGGAAGGTCCTCCACTCCTCTCTACCTACAGCCACCTCTGAAGGGCAGAGCTATCCAGGAGGTTGACCTGCCTTTTATCTAGTCCTGTTGCGTGGACCAGAGACTGTCCAGGCTTGGAGAAATCCAACAACCTGCTCAGCACAGAGAAGACTTTCTTGGACATGAGTTTTCTTGCCTTTCTAGAAGAGGACCTTCCCCTATGCTCTTCCCAGGCCTACTGTTTTCCATCCTGCCCCTCTTTCTGCTGTGGTCTTTCTGCTGTGGTCTTGCTGCTGTGGTGTTGTTACCCCAACATGTTCCAGAGCACAGTTTCATGGCACTTTTTCTACTTCTCCTAGTCTATTAATATTACTGTGACAATTAGAAAAGCAGAAAGATCCTAGACCTAGGTTGTTGGTGTCTTCAGCCTGCAATGTGGTTGTGCTGTTCAGAGCTGAATCTTCCCACACTAGGTCTGTGCTACAGCTCCCAGATGGAGATATATCAAGATTGTACCAGAATGCAAGGTAGAAGTACCGAGTTGTTTCCATGTTAAATGTTGCTTTAGAAAACACTGATAAAGTAGTTGGTGTCTCAGACTCATCCTTCTTATTTTCGGCCGCCTTCCTTGATCCACACATATTATAGAAATGCAGGATTCAATACAATTGGATTTGATGAGGAGTAAAGGGTCATGTTCTAAAGTACATGTGCCTGGTGCATGATCTCTGTGCTGAGATCCTTCCTATTCAAGAAATGCTTCCCTGTTACTGTAGTGAGGTGCTGGTACAGGGTGCCCAGAGAAGCTGTGGCTGCCCCATCCCTGGCAGTGTTCAAGGTCAGGTTGGACACAGGGTCTTGGAGCAAGCTGCTCTAGTGGAAGGTGTCCATGCCCATGGCAGGGGTTGGAACTGGATGAGCTTTAAGGTCCCTTCAACAAAAACAAGTCTGGGATTCTATGATTCTATGAAATCTACCAGTAAATGCAGTGGATTTTGACTCTTAGCAGTAGACAGTTCTGATCCACCTGTATCCTCACCACTAAATACATGCTAGCTGATTTGCAATGACATGCTTCACATGACATAGGCAGCAATGCCCAAGAGGCCATCAAGGAATTTGATAAATTAGAATAAGCTGCCTCATTGCATCATAATGTGTGTATTCAGACTATCATTATTTTGTGTAGAAGTCTGTGGACACCCTTATTCCATTGTAAGTACTTTCTTGCGGTCACAGGTGAAAGCTGATTAATCTTTGTCTTTTCAATGGTTTTCATTTGGACCTCACAAAAGCCAGTACATCTGCAGAAGTCTCCTAATAGTCAGCAGAAGAGAAAGCGTTCTTGAAGCTTGGTGGAGCTTCTTTCATAGAACAATGTGCCGAGAAACACTTCAAGCTGCCAGAAGAAGTCCCAGAGAACAAAACTGTGTTACTGCAAGAGATTTACCTGGTCAATGGGAAGGATGAAAACATGCTGCATGGTATTAACATTAATTAAATAATGCAAATTTATTAGAACAAAACATTTATCTATTCGTACTGTGCAGAGATTGTCTTGTAACCAAGATCACTAGAACGATCTGGATGTTTGAAGTTTGTAGTGAAGAATTAATCAGTGTTGTTCATTTACCTGCACAGTTTGACATGAGTTTTTTCACTTGATTTGCCTAGGAATCACTTTCGTGTTCCCCTTCCTCCCCACCCTTTTCAGTTATGACAAGAGTTTGGAGAGGAATTGCCACTGACTGCAGTGTTTGATTGGTCAAATATACTGGACTTTCTTTGCTTCTTGCCAAGATGTCAAAATCAGAAGAATATGAATACAGAATACCAGGTGTGTACATTTCCTCATTCATGTGCAAATGTGGTTGTTTGCATAAAAAAAAAACATATTTGCCCTTCTCAATGTTCATTTTCAAGGCTTCCAACGTTATCTTTGGCCTTTTATCCTTTGCACTTCCTTCTTCCATTCCAAAATGCTGGCCTTTGTGGAAAGACCTTCTAGGTTATGTTCTTTAGTCTTCATCCTTGATGACTGCCCCTGCAGGGCAATAAGTCTGTACATGGCAACAATTGTGCCACCAGTTTTAACTCCTGATAATGCCATTCAAGACATGAGGGCTGTAGAAGCAGGAATCAGGTGAAGAACAACATTCTGGCTCTTCAGTGTTAGGATGATCATCAGCTTTTTCTTGTTAAGTAATTAATACACAGAAACAGAGGAAAGTAACCACACTGGCAAGAGAATGATGAAGTGAGTTAGGCATTGTTTCATGTTGTGGAAAAGCTTTGGATTCATTCTTCAAAGAATGATACAGCTTGAATTGTCACTATACAAGGACTATATTAAGAGAGAATCTTATTAGAAATCTGAACCTTCCCCACACATACACTTTAAAATGGCTTAAAGGAAATTCTGGAATAAAGTTAAGTTTCAACCTATGTAATTTACTTACCTATGCATAAAATCCACTGATCTTTCTGCACATTTGCACAAAAAGTTATCATCTGAGCCTGATTCTCTTTAACCTTTCTTCAATCTAACAGTCCATCAGTAAACACAGTTTTGACTTGAACTTAAAAGTGCCAAAAATCAATCGGTTCATATTGGCACCAGTGTTGACTTCAACTACAAGGTTCTTCAGGGACTCCCCAGTGATACTTGAACAGGGTCACCAGTCTTATTTCATTTAAAGTATGCCAAAGCTTTAAGGCATTCATGGCTCCCCAGGGAGATTTGCCACATTAATAGGCACCAGGTTAGGAAATCTATTTATTACTTTGCTTGATGAAGCCTGTTTAAGTTTCAAGATACCACTCCCTTCCCCACACCTTCCAAGGAATCTCTCTATAAAAGAAAAAAACCTGAGACTTATCAGCCAGAATTGAAAGGTATCTTTGGATAGGAGCTCATTTTCTTTGTACAATGAGATGATTGTGAAACCTATGGTAGCAGTGGAAAATGTTACTCTTGAGATATAATCTTTCTGCAAAACCCAGGAAGTTACAAAATCTTAAACAACAAATCAAACATGTGTTGTTTTTAGATGATAGGACTGTGGTTGCTTTATTGTTCTACTGTAGAAAAAGAAACCTAAAGAGCCCCACCCCCTCAGAAATAGAAACTATATATTCTGACTGTCCTTTCTGTCAACAGCAACTGATGAGATGGGTACCACTACAATTTTGACATGGCTACTCTTGCTAGGTCCAGCAGTTTTGGAGGCCAAATCAGGTAAAGCACTTAAACTTGCTCCAGGGGGCATAAAAAGATCTAAAACTGCTTGGGGTCCTCTCTGGTGGTTTCACAGATAAGAATTACATTCATGCTGGCATCAGTATGGGCAAAAGATGGAAAGAAAAATTGGATGAAAGAGATAGATAGCACAGTTTTGTTTTACTAAAATTATGAGCTAATCCTCACAGTGAGTGATAAGAATGATTTAAACCATTTAGTGGAGTTAATTTTGCTGCCACAGGGTCATGTTTGTCTTGGTGCCTTGCAACATTGCAAGAACTGTGTCTGTGAGTGTGTTATGATCGGGTCACTCCTCCAGTTCCAGAAATCTGACCTAAGAGTTATGGAAGAATTCATTCATTTATTTTAATTGTATATTTATTCCACAGTGTATGCATGCATACATATGTTATATACTTAATATTGCTTGTATTATTTGATTATTCTTGATATTATGTACAATTTAATAAAAGACAATGAGCAGTTAGTTTTCATAATCCAGTTCTAGATAAATAAGGGGCATCTGAAGATAATGAAAGACATGAAATGTTTTTAGTTCAACTTTTTTATGGTCATTGACTTTTGACTTGTCTGATTAGTTTCTATCTCCTAGGCCACTTAGGTGACTTTGAGTTAAATAGATCAATGCATAGCCTAGAATAATTGCAGGTGGTTTTTCTAGTTATTTAAGCATCATTATGATAATTTATATTGCCATCATCCACTTTAACCAGTTTTCTTTGTCTGTGCTCTGCTTGCCTGGTGATAAGCCATCTCTCTCTGGCTGCTCCAGCTCTTATCTCTGTTCTTGGCTAATTCCCCAGCCCCTGCCTCTGTCTCCTGGATCAAAGTGTTGTATTTGTATAATCACAGCCTTTTGCCTTTCTGACACCTCTGAAGTGTGAGGCAGGATGCAACCCATCTAATTACAGCTCTCGCAGTGATGACAGACCCTGAGTGAAAGCAAATAGAACTTTCAGATCAGCTTTTATTTCCTAATCCCATTCTGACTTTTTGCCAGCTTTGTGGTTTCTCTCCTCAAAAATCCTACGAGTGAGGTTCAACAATGTGCATGTCCAAGTAGATATCTGAAGAAACAAATCAGATGTAAGTCAAGGGGCACTTTTGCAGCTTTTCCCTTCCAGCTGCCAGTTAAATGCACACAAACAGAGACAAATCTGGTTTGGACTCAGTCTTGACTGTTCTTCTAGCCCAACAACGATGAATTAGATGCAGTGAAGAAATTCTGGGGCTGTTAACGTCTCAGATTTGTTTTGCTTTGGGTGACTTACTCAGTGTTTAATAACAAGATAAATATGTATCTGGCAAAGTATAACAAGTGCAGCATGCATGGTTTGATTTCCGAAGTGTAGGTACTGCAAATCTTAAGTTACAACATTTATTTGCTCACTTACACTTGGTGGTAAAGTCTCTAATGAATTCTCTCAACAAAAATGAACCTCTCAAATGAGGATTCTCATACTGTTCACTGCAGAATGCCTAAACAAGCTAACGCAGTCTAGAAAGCAGATGGGCTTTACCTGAATGAATGCAGTGATCAGAGTATTCATGATACATAGGTCATTAGCTATTTCTTTATTGTTATTGGCATATAAGAAATAAAGCCACTGGATTCCTATTGAAATTTTTATAATCCTATTGAGACCATTGTCCATTCTGTCAAACACTTCAGGGAATAAAAGAAATACATAAACATGAAATGTGTTCTTAAAGCATGCCATTTTCTTCCTATTAACAAAGTGGAAAAAAAATAATTGTGCTATTTTCTTAATACAGATTTACTTAGATTTCATTCAGATACTGAAATTCATTTTCTCTCCTTTGCTTTCCTATTATGCTTTTCTTACTTAAGAATTTCCTTTCGTGCTGAAAAAGTTTGTGCTTAGCCTGCTGTCTAACTTTTCTGAGAAATCTCACATAAAATATATGTAGCTGATTTTGAGATCTGGAAGAGAGAAAGAAAAAAGGTCTGTGTCACCTCTGTCCTTACAGGCATTTAGTATTGGGCTAGGCAAGCACCTACTAAGAGCGACGGGGCAAAAGGACAAAATAGATTATAGAATCCCAGACTGGTTTGTGTTGGAAGGAGCCTTAAAGCTCATCCAGTTCCAACCCTATGCTGCGGGCAGGGACACCTTCCACTAGAGCAGGTTGCTCCAAGTCCTATCCAACCTGGCCTTCATCTTGACTGACTTCTAATATCACTTCCAGCTTATTTGCCTGTGTCCGTTTCCCTCTTTCCCACAGTGACTCGTGTCCGGCTGGTGAACGGAAGGCACAGATGTGAAGGTCGCATTGAGGTCTATTACAGAAGAGAGTGGGGGACAGTTTGTGATGATTTCTGGGACCTTTCTGATGGCCAGGTTGTGTGCAGGCAGCTGGGATGCGGCGGGGTCATTGCGGCTCCAGGCAGTGCTTACTTTGGGCAAGGCTCAGGTGATATCCTCCTGGACAATGTGCAGTGCAATGGAGATGAGGCCTCCTTGTTTCTCTGTAAACATCTCGGATGGAAGGTACACAACTGTGCCCACTATGAAGATGCTGGTGTTGTCTGTTCAGGTGCTGTCATGTTTTTCTTTTCTAAATACTTTTGCTATAAATTGCACTCAATATACATGTACGGGCATGCAGGTATGGAGGCATTCTCCTTCTGAGATAACATTTCATTTGTTCAAGACATATGGTGGAAATCTGTACCAGATATACCAGATACATGTCTAATCTTTCTTTCTACTTTATTTTGAAGAGCTTTCTGTCTGTGCAAAGGCACACTCCCTAGGAAATCTCTCAGGAAGCAGAGCCTGGTCTTCCAACAGCCCTGTCTTTTTACTCCACTGACCCTGCAGAGCCACTGTGGACCATACTTTTCTCACAATAGTAGTTTACACACTGTGCTTGCTCACTGCGTGCACAGCAATTAAAAACCCGTGGATCAGATTTGCATTGCTATGTGCAGAACTTTAATTCTGTCATGGCATAAAATCACCCAGCAGTGACAAAGAGAGCAAGGAAATATGTTAAAATTAGAGGCAAAGCTGTATCTTCTAGAGAAGAGAAGGCTGCGTGGGGACCTCAGAGCAGCCTTCCAGTATCTGAAGGGAGGCTATAGGGATGCTGGGGAGGGACTCTTCATTAGGGACTGTAGTGACAGGGCAAGGGGTAACGGGTTCAAACTTAAAAAGGGGAAGTTTAGATTGGATATAAGGAGGAAGCTCTTTACTGTGAGGGTGGTGAGGCACTGGAATGGGTTGCCCAGGAAAGTTGTGAACGCTCCATCAGTGGAGTCCTTCAAGGCCAGGTTATACAGAGCCTTGGGCAACATGGTTTAGTGTAAGGTGTCCGTGCCCATGGCAGGGGGGTTGGAACTGGATGATCTTAAGGTCCTTTCCAACCCTAACTATTCTGTGATTCTATGATGGTGATGGGTTCAAGCCCTGCTGGTGCCAGCAACCCTACAGCTCCTGTCTCTGTAGCAGGAGCCTGTAGGGGACAGCCTCCAACCATGCCTGAGCCATCGTGTCCTGTGGTGGGAGCAGATGCTGCATCAGTACCTTTCGCTGCAGTCACCATCTAGAAATACCACTTTTAAGAAAAATTTTCAATTGGCTGTTACCCACTTCTATTGCCTCCACTGACCCCAGCCAAGATGGAGTATGCAATCATAGAATCACAGAATGGTTTGGGTTGGAAGGGACCTTAAGATCATCCAGTTCCAACCCCCTGCCACAGTCAGGAACACCTTCCACTAGAGCACGTTGCTCCAAGCCCCGTCCAGCCTGGCCTTGAACACTGCCAGGGATGGAGCATTCACACAGAGTAATTTGTCTTGATTTCACTTCATCCTTAAGGAACTGAGCTTGTAGCTAACACACAGATGTACACATTGCACAAGCATGGTCCTCATATGCGTGGTGGTTCTTCTGTATTCACAGGAAGGACCACTACGGTGCTGACGACCTCCACGGTGCCAAGAAACTCAACACTGCAGACAGTACCCATAACGGAGGACACAGACACCATAGAACCAATGACCTTTCTAACAGATCTGCCCTCCCTACCAGATGTGGTCACCATAGTACCATCGACCTCTGCAGCTGAGACAATGTTCTTAGAGGAGATAGCCATCACAGAAACAATGTCCTCCCCAGCAGAACCAACGACCACCATAGCAGACAGGTTCACCACAGCGGAGACAACGTCCCTAGAAGAGACACCCGTCACACAACTTATGTTCTCCCCAGCAGAGAAGACCTCCCCAACTACCTCAGCACCACTCTCCACTGCAGGAGAGGAGATAACCACTGCAGAGACATTCTCCTCACTGGAGACAATCACAGGAATACCACTGTCTGCCACAGTGGAGACAACGTCCCTAGAGGAGATAACCACTGCAGAACCAATGACCTCCTTAGCAACGACATCCTCCTCAGCAACAATGACCACCACAGCACTACTGACCTACCCAGTGGACACAACCACAGGAGTGCAAACAACCTCCATAGAGGACATGTCCTCCATAGCAGAGGCTGCCACCACAGTCCCAATGAATACCACAGCACAGGAGAGCACAGCAGGTAACCCTCTCCCTCACCGGTCTCCTTAGTGCCTCTGATTTCTCTGATCTGATTGCACTGGAGGGAGTCTCCCATCCCTGAGCAAACTTCATTCTTGCCACCCAAGTCCACAATGAGGATGGAAGCAGAGCATGGAGAAGAGCTGGTAAACTGGGAGGGGGGGGGTAAGGCGAGAGGCCAGGTCCTCTGTAACCATTGCTGGTGAAGGAAACTATTTGGGAAGGGATTTTCTCTCACTGCAGTGGGGGGATTGTGGCAGGGGATCATTCAGACTTAGCCCCTTCAGTTCCAGCACAGGGAGTACCATAGCTATTGCCTAGACATACTCTGGGATTTGCAATGTGAGTGGAAAAGAGAAAGATGCTGACTCAAATGTTTTGTAATGCAAGTTAGACCTCATCCGCCATATGGTTCCTGTCCAGGGAGCAAGTAGTTGTGTGAAACACAGAAGTGATGATGGTCATTTCAATTGAATGAAAGACATGGTATGAAGTACCATAGGACAGGAGCTCCTTGAAGGCAGGCTACTTCAGGGTGCATGACATGCACTGACAGTGCTTAGAGCCTTCTTCATTGACACCAAATTGTTCTTTGCACCCACAGCTCCAGCTGCCAGCACAGAGGGACCACATTCAACAGGTAACTCATACCCACCACACACATCCCTGGCCTTGCACCATGCATTCAGGCTCCCTGCTGCAGGAGCCCATGTGGGGACAGCAGGGCGGGGGCTCATTCACTCACTCCCTCTTCTTCCTTGCAGCAGTACCTACAGCCCCTCCTACCCAAGTACCGTACACAACAGGTAATGAGTGCTCACTGAGCTTATCCCCTTATCCCCAGCCTTGCAGTGGCACAGGAGGAGAGGAGGGGGAAACTGCTGGCCAGAGCCTGCCCAGTGCAGGGCTGCTGCTCCCCTCTCCACGGTGCATGCCGGGTTCCCCCTAGGGGATGGGCACACTGAACGTGTACAAATGGGTTTTCTACCCATGCCTCAAGCAACCCTGTCCCCACGCAGCTCCCACCGGCCCGCAGATGTCCCTCTGCAGGGAGAATCTGCCTCCTGCACACCGGGGTCTTTGCTCCGTCACTGCCCTCCCCTGCTCCCTTCGGTCTGCACCACCCCATCCTGTGGTCCCTGCACCCACACCAGCCGGGGAGGTGGGTGCTGCGTGTGCGGGGCAGGTAGGACCCTGAGGCGGTGCCTTGTGCCGTGTCGCAGGGCCCATCCTGCGCCTGTCGGGCGGGAGGCACGGCTGCGAGGGCCGCGTGGAGCTGTCCGACGGCAGCAGCTGGGGCACGGTGTGCGACGACCTGTGGGACCTGCGGGCTGCCCGGGTGGTGTGCGCGCAGCTGGGCTGCGGGGAACCCGTGGCCGCCCCGGGCAGCGCCCGCTTCGGGGCCGGCTCCGGCCGCATCTTCCTGGACGACGTGCAGTGCCGCGGGGACGAGCCCTCGCTCCGGATGTGCCGGCACAACGGCTGGGGCATGCACAACTGCCAGCACGTGGAGGACGCTGGTGTCGTCTGTGCAGGTCTGTGGGCAGCAAAGGCACCGGGGCTAGCATGCACATCACAGCGGGTGGGTTTCGGTGCCTTCCCTTGGGAGCAGCCATGTTTACACACCTCAGTAGGGCCAGGGTACAACAGTGAGACCGGGGCCTTTTCCTGCCTGGTGCTGGAAGCACGGGTGGTACTGACACCCTGGGTTTGCACACTGAGAGCACAGCAGGCTCCCCATGCTCGCAGGTGTAGGTGGTTGGTGTGGTGGGAAGAGCAGGATGGTAGGATCAAGGCATGGGGAGGATGGGGCAGCACCGGGGACATGTCGGGATGGTGTCTGGATAGGGGAATGGCAGAATAGTGCCCCATTTCCTCTTCCCCCATTAGTGCTCCAGCATTGCATGTCTATTCATAGTCACAAGCCTGATGCCTTTTCATTCATTCCTTTTTCCTCCTTGCAGCAGTACCTACAGCCCCTCCTACCCAAGTACCGTACACAACAGGTAATGAGTGCTCACTGAGCTTATCCCCTTATCCCCAGCCTTGCAGGGGCACAGGAGGAGAGGAGGGGAAACTGCTGGCCAGAGCCTGCCCAGTGCAGGGCTGCTGCTCCCCTCTCCACGGTGCATGCCGGGTACCCCCTAGGGGATGGCCACACTGAACGTGTACAAATGGGTTTTCTACCCATGCCTCAAGCAACCCTGTCCCCACGCAGCTCCCACCGGCCCGCAGATGTCCCTCTGCAGGGAGAATCTGCCTCCTGCATACACACAGTATCACAGTATGCTAGAGATTGGAAGGGACCTCGAAAGATCATCTAGTCCAATCCCCCTGCCGGAGCAGGAACACCTAGATAATGTTACACAGGAATGTGTCCCGGCAGGTTTTGAATGTCTCCAGGGAAGGAGACTCCACAACCTCCCTGGGCAGCCTGTTCCAGTGTTCCGTCACCCTCACTGAGAAGAAGTTCCTTCTCAAGTTTAAGTGGAACCTCTTGTGTTCCAGTTTGCACCCATTACCCCTTGTCCTATCATTGTTTGCCACTGAGTAGAGCCTGGCTCCATCCTCGTGACATTCCCCCTTTATATATTTATAGACACTAATAAGGTCACCCCTCAGTCTCCTCTTCTCCAAACTATAGAGACCCAGCTCCCTCAGTCTTTCCTCATAAGGGAGGTGCTCCACTCCCCTAATCATCTTTGTTGCCCTGCGCTGGACTCTCTCCAGCAGCTCCCTGTCCTTCTTGAACTGAGGGGCCCAGAACTGGACACAATATTCCAGATGGGGTCTCACCAGGGCAGAGTAGAGGGGAAGGAGGACCTCTCTCGACCTACTAACCACCGCCCTTCTAATACACCCCAGGATGCCATTGGCCTTCTTAGCCACAAGGGCACAGTGTTGGCTCATGGTCATCCTGTCGTCCACTAGGACCCCCACGTCCCTCTCCCCTACACTGCTCTCTAACACCGGGGTCTTTGCTCCGTCACTGCCCTCCCCTGCTCCCTTCGGTCTGCACCACCCCATCCTGTGGTCCCTGCACCCACACCAGCCGGGGCGGTGGGTGCTGCGTGTGCGGGGCCGGCAGGACCCTGAGGCGGTGCCTTGTGCCGTGTCGCAGGGCCCATCCTGCGCCTGTCGGGCGGGAGGCACGGCTGCGAGGGCCGCGTGGAGCTGTCCGACGGCAGCAGCTGGGGCACGGTGTGCGACGACCTGTGGGACCTGCGGGCTGCCCGGGTGGTGTGCGCGCAGCTGGGCTGCGGGGAACCCGTGGCCGCCCCGGGCAGCGCCCGCTTCGGGGCCGGCTCCGGCCGCATCTTCCTGGACGACGTGCAGTGCCGCGGGGACGAGCCCTCGCTCCGGATGTGCCGGCACAGCGGCTGGGGCATGCACAACTGCCGGCACGTGGAGGACGCTGGAGTCGTCTGTGCAGGTCTGTGGGCAGCAAAGGCACCGGGGCTAGCATGCACATCACAGCGGGTGGGTTTCGGTGCCTTCCCTTGGGAGCAGCCATGTTTACACACCTCAGTAGGGCCAGGGTACAACAGTGAGGTCGGGGCCTTTTCCTGCCTGGTGCTGGAAGCACGGGTGGTGCTGACACCCTGGGTTTGCACACTGAGAGCACAGCAGGCTCCCCATGCTCGCAGGTGTAGGTGGTTGGTGTGGTGGGAAGAGCAGGATGGCAGGATCAAGGCATGGGGAGGATGGGGCAGCACCGGGGACATGTCGGGATGGTGTCTGGATAGGGGAATGGCAGAATAGTGCCCCATTTCCTCTTCCCCCATTAGTGCTCCAGCATTGCATGTCTATTCATAGTCACAAGCCTGATGCCTTTTCATTCATTCCTTTTTCCTCCTTGCAGCAGTAACTACAGCTCCTCCTACCCAAGTACCGTACACAACAGGTAATGAATGCTCACTGAGCTTATCCCCTTATCCCCAGCCTTGCAGGGGCACAGGAGGAGAGGAGGGGGAAACTGCTGGCCAGAGCCTGCCCAGTGCAGGGCTGCTGCTCCCCTCTCCACGGTGCATGACGGGTTCCCCCTAGGGGATGGGCCACACTGAACGTGTACAAATGGGTTTTCTACCCATGCCTCAAGCAACCCTGTCCCCACGCAGCTCCCACCGGCCCGCAGATGTCCCTCTGCAGGGAGAATCTGCCTCCTGCACACCGGGGTCTTTGCTCCGTCACTGCCCTCCCCTGCTCCCTTCGGTCTGCACCACCCCATCCTGTGGTCCCTGCACCCACACCAGCCGGGGCGGTGGGTGCTGCGTGTGCGGGGCCGGCGGGACCCTGAGGCGGTGCCTTGTGCCGTGTCGCAGGGCCCATCCTGCGCCTGTCGGGCGGGAGGCACGGCTGCGAGGGCCGCGTGGAGCTGTCCGACGGCAGCAGCTGGGGCACGGTGTGCGACGACCTGTGGGACCTGCGGGCTGCCCGGGTGGTGTGCGCGCAGCTGGGCTGCGGGGAACCCGTGGCCGCCCCGGGCAGCGCCCGCTTCGGGGCCGGCTCCGGCCGCATCTTCCTGGACGACGTGCAGTGCCGCGGGGACGAGCCCTCGCTCCGGATGTGCCGGCACAACGGCTGGGGCATGCACAACTGCCGGCACGTGGAGGACGCTGGAGTCGTCTGTGCAGGTCTGTGGGCGGCAAAGGCACCGGGGCTACCATGGAGCTCATGGTCCTCTGTGCCCAGTCTTCTATGGTGTCCCCATCCTCTCCTCACCCCAATCTCTGTCGTGGTACCCTGTGCCCTAAGGTGGGGCCACATCTGTGCTCTAGCATCTTTCTCCTGAGCTTCACATCTCACCTGTGCCTCTTCTTCTATACCCACAGCTGCTGTGGCCACCCCGACATCTACATCAGGTAATGCTCTTTGCCTTTTCTCTCCTTTTATTTCTGGGCTGCCTACCTTTTGTTTTTGTTTGTTTTTTTTTTAATTGTTTTTTTCTTTTTCTATGGAAAAATCCCTTTAAACTTGCATGATAATCCTTAGGCAGGCTGTGTTATCCCCTTGCATTTTAGTGATGCTTATTTTTCTGCTATGATGGTTGGCTGTAGGCAAGCCATTTCTTCACTGGGCTCTTCAGCTAGGTCAAAGCTTAAGGATATGTGGTCTAAATCTCTCACATGCATTATTATTGGTAGGTTGGTGTTCAACTATCGCAATGTGTAACTTTTGGCTATTCTGCTTGCCCCAGCTGTCATGGTCATCAGCCTATTTTTGCCTTGACCATCCACAACAGGGGAAGTGTGAACGCCCCATCCCTGGCAGTGTTCAAGGCCAGGTTGGACAGAGCCTTGGCTGACATGGTTTAGTGTGAGGTGTCCCTGCCCATGGCAGAGGGGTTGGAACTGGGTGATCTTAAGGTCCTTTCCAACCCTGACTATTATATGACTCTATGATTCTATGATTCACAGTAGAAGACAATACAAAAGTGAAGATGCCTGAGAGCCCGCCCAGTCTGATCAGGAGAAAGGGCAGTACCTAAGCACAGCTGATCCTCCCAAGCTTGGAATAGCCTGAATATTCCAAAATCCTGAGGCAGGGAGGAGTGTGCTGTGCAGGAATATAAAATGGGGGTTGTTGTTGCCCTTACGTGTCACATCTTGTAGGAATTACATTCATAGCATGTACTCACTTTCTATCAGGAAAATTTTAGGATTATCAGTGCATTTAACATAAGAATTGTATGTCACTCATCTGGCAAGACCATGAAAACTTTTTGCAGCTACACTTATAGTAGAAATAAGATATATTTAAGACTTGGCCCAGCAGCCTGGAATGCTTATTTCAGTCTGTGATGATAAAATTAGAGTTTCCTAGAAGACTTGCAACTTATTGATTCTCTGAAGTCCTTAGGACTTGGGGAATTAGGGAAATAAAGAGAAGCAGGAAGGTAACTGAGGGGATTCTGTTTGTTGAGGAAGGTACTTCCATGTTGAGTGTCATGGTGCCTTCCTGAATTAGACCTCAACTGCAGAAAGGAGAGACGAGATCAGAAAGCTCCAAGGTGTTACAAACCCCAGCTTGAAGAGAGTGGTCTGACACCATGGATGTGACAGGGAATCCCAAATCCGACATGAAAGTAAACCTAAAGGGGGAAAAACATTTGTCTTGATTGAGTCTTACAGAGTATCACCTGCAGTTAGCAGGAGACCTGCTCTTCAGCAGCTGTGGATGGAACACATACACCTCAAGTACAACTTTGCAGAGGTTACTGTAAGTAAATTCTCTTCCATTTCTTTCTGCAGCACCTTATTTTTGTGGTGGCTCAATCTCAAATTCCTCTGGGATGCTGCAGACTCCCTTCTACCCTGGAAGTTATCCAAACAACGCTGACTGCGTGTGGGAAATACAAGTAGAGAACAATTTCCGTGTTGTGCTGACATTTAGAGATATTGAGTAAGTAAAACATTGATTCCCTGAGCAAATGACAAAGTCAAAATATACGTGAGAGGTTTGGAACCTAGCTGAAACAGGAAACCTTCCAAATTTTAAAGATTCTTTCAAAAACATCCAGCAGTTGAAAGGCTCCATCTCTGGCACTGTCCAAGGCGATGTTGGACTTTGAGCAACGTGGTCTAGAGTGAGGCATCCCTGCCCATGCCAGGGGGTTGGAACTAGATGATCTTAAAGTCCTTTCCAACCCAAGCTACTCTGTGACTGTGATGTTATGACCAGAAGAAAATCTCGATTACTGTAGTATTTTCTGCTCACAGTTTTCTGCTACATCTACATACAAAATGAACAAACCCTCAGCCATAAAAACCTCAAGTGCTGATTTTATAACGTGTTAAATCTGAGTTTCTGAAACACTTTTGACAAGGTGCTGACATTTGTTTGCCAGGATGCAAAGCGGCAGATGCCAGTATGACTACATTGAAGTCTACGACGGGCCTCTACATTCCTCCCCGCTTCTTGGGAGACTTTGCTCTGGTTCCTTTCCCACATACACATCCTCTTCAAACATGATGACCGTTCACTTTCACAGCGATTCTAGAGACACCTTCAGGGGGTTTCAGGCTCACTACTCCTCCATTCCAGCAGTTCACAACTCTAGTAAGTTGCTGGTTGGTGTTTCTTAACATACCAGCCTGATTATTGCTTTTGTTTGCAAAATAAAGATTTGTGTGTATTTAAAGATGTTAGGGAAATTACATGATGTGTGTGAATATGATGGGCTGGTATGTGAACTGCCTCCCTTCTAAATGAAGAAATGAACAACATTTGGTTCAATTACAACATTTAATCATTAACAAATTCATAAAGTCACTAATATATGGTTTCTGCTTCTTCTACCAGCCCTTCAGTGCTTGCCAGACTACATGCATGCAGTGGTTAGCACAGACTACCTCCGGTCTCAGGGCTACTCAGCAGAGATGGTCACTCTGAATGATAATCGTTGTAGACCAACAATCACATCACGTGAGGTTATATTCAACATTCCCTACAACGACTGTGGGACGACACGGGAGGTATGTGTTATCCTGAATTGCAGAACCCCGCACTGAAGAGAGTCATGAAGGGCCCTTGTGGTCTACAGTACAAAGTGAACCAATGAGACGCAGAGGTTTTTAGTGCTTTAGGGAATCCCCATGTTTAGTAGAAATGGAGGAAAGCATGAGAAGGAGTTATATGAACCCTCCCTGATTTAAAGCAGATGTAGTCTTATAAGTGCCACGCAGGTTTGGGATAATTGCACTACATGATTGATATTTGGTACAGATGTTGAATGAGCTGGTTCTGCCTTGGAGTTAACAGAAGTTTTCCCCACTAATTTCTGTTCAATAGCTTACTTCAGCAAGTTTGTTTAGAATGTGTGAGCAGCAAAGTCCAATATCAACTTCTTGGTTTCAAGAGTTTAAGAGAAATCTGCATTTTCAAACTTTGTGTTACTCTACCAAAGCCTAGAACAGGTAACATGACAAAAATGCAATTCCTCATTTTAAATTGCATGTTAAACAGGAGAACAACGATACCATCAACTATTCCAACACCATCAAAGTTACTTCTTCTGGGTACATAATCAGGAGGAAAAAGAATATTAACTTACACATCAGTTGCAAAATGCTACAGAAAACATGGATGCAAATAACGTATGTTGCTGAGGACACTGTAGATATGAATGAAAATCAGTTTGGAAGATACACCATAAACATCACTTTCTATGACTCCTCATCATTCTTGCGGCAAGTGCACGACTCTCCGTACTACATTGACTTGAACCAAAATTTGTACCTTCAAGCTTATCTTCACAGCTCTGATCCAAATCTGATCCTGTTTGTGGACACATGTGTGGCATCACCAGATCCTCAAGATTTTAACAGACTGGCCTATGATATAATCAGGAATGGGTAAGAGCTTTCTCAAGCTGTTAGAAGCATAGCTACAATATTCTTTCCGCATTTATTTAGAAGACTAGAGCCAATCTGAATTGGTATTGACCTCACTATCCATAGACTGTTAAGAGGGGTTTTTGAGTTTTTATTCTTACAGTGTGAACCTGGAAATGAGACATTACATTAAGACTTTACTAGCACTTCATTTCCCTTACTTCATCCTTGTCCTATATGCAAAATCCAAAGTAGTGGGAGGTAGATGAGATGAGATAGTGAAAACTGTCAGCAGGAATCTATCATCCTAGGCATTAAATATGTTACTAAAATCAGGTCAAGCATTAGAATAATTTTTTATGACTCATATAGCACAGACATTAGTAAAAGTCTGCTCTTCCCTCTTCAACACTTAGAATCATAGAATAGTTTGTGTTGGAAGGGACCTTAAAGCTCATCCAGTTCCAACCCCCCTGCCTTGGGCAGGGACACCTCCCACTAGAGCAGGTTGCTCAAGACCCCATCCAACCTGGCCTAAATAGAATATTCTTCTCTTGGAAAGAAAGAGTTGCCAGTGCTCTGGCTTCTTCATAGGACTTAAGTCTCTATTTTCGAAGTCTGTACAACACTATAAAAGTTGAATCTTTGTCCCATTGTTTTCTTAGCACCTGGCTATGATATAATTTTGTTTTAACCTATAGCATTTTTGCAGGAATATACATAAAGCCTAATTCTCTTTTTCCTTTCTTTCTAGATGTGCTAGAGATTCTTCCTATGCCACATACTACTCCCCCTACAGCCACTTTGCTCGGTTCAAGTTTAATGCCTTTGAGTTCATCAGCCGGCATTCAGTAGTCTACCTGCGGTGTGAGCTGGTGGTGTGCAGGCTTCGGGACTATTCCTCCCGCTGCTACCGGGGCTGTGTTAGCAGGGCCAAGAGAGATGCAAGTTCTGCTGAGGAAAGAGTGAACGTGGTTGTAGGGCCACTTCAGCTTCAAGGAGGGGGTGCTAAGAGTAGGAATATTGGTAAAGTCAAATAACTTCCTCTTCTTTTACTCTAAGCCTATTTGGGACTTCAAGAAAAGCCCTAGCTTTTCTTACATCTGCCACTGAAATCTGATTTTGCCAACTTTACCATAAAAAAAAAGGGATCTTTTTGGCTGAGCCAAATGTCTACAAATCTCTTCTTTCACACATTGTAAGCCCCCTGTTTTGACCTGCATGTATAGAAGTATAACTGCTTTGGCTGTCCCAAAGGAGAGGCAGCGTGTGCCCCATTTTCATAGAATCACAGAATGGTTAGTGTTGGAAGGGACTTTAACCATTCTATGCATCTGTGAAACAAGATGCTATGAAAATGCCATGAAATTTTTGGTGCTATAACTCCATTGAACTAATTAGCTCCAGTCTGCTGGAGCAAATGAACTAATGGCTAATATGATGTCCAGCTCAGCCTTTTTGAGAAACATTTAATTCCCTTAGTTGTCTTCCTCTTGTCAAGTTTGCTTAGTTATGTTGTCATCCCTGTTAATGTAAAGCATGTTCGAATAGTTTAAAGCAGTGAAGTTAGCCTAATTCCGGCTCTGTTCTGGGAACCATCCTTTTTAATGCAGCCGCTCTCTCTGTCCTGATCTTTAATAAACTGAGATCTACCCCCTCTGCCTTCACTCTCAGGGCTGGACTCCTCTCTGCCTCCTCCCCAAGCTGATAACCCCCTCACGCCGGTCGTTGCTGCTGTCGCTGTCCTCGCAGTTGTCGTCTTTGTTCTTGCTGGGTTTCTTGCAAGACCTGCACTGAAGAAACTGCTTTCACATGGGACAATGTGAGCTCAAAGGTCAGCATCATCCACTCAGTGACTGCAAGGCAAATGTCACATATCATCAGCTGCCAAAATGCTTCACTGACCGCAGTCACATTTGTACCGTTTGTAAGAAGCTGTGATATCTTTATCGACAATAAATCCTAACCTGTTATAGTGCTTTAGAATAACTTTGTAATCCTAACACTTCTTAAACGATTAAGAAATCATTTCGACATTCATGTCACGAGTTGTTTGGTACGATCATCTTACCATTTTTGTCCTCTTTAGTTCCCTTCTTACGTTCTTCTGAGACCATGTACCTAATGCCTAGAAATTTCATGAGCTGGAGAGACAATATGAATGAGATATCAATAAGTATTTCGAGGTTTAGTATAGAGTAAAAGAAATAGGTCATGCCCGGAAAGGAAATGTAAAAATTGTTCTTATCATGGCATCTAGAGTTGTGGCTATACAATAATTATTTTGAGCATTGCTCTTGATGCTAAATTTCTCAATGGAAAAGTAACAGGTCTGTGCTTATTTGTAAAACGCAGAGAATCCCAAGCTGAAGTAATCTGTTACATGAGCAGCGTAATTTAAAATCAAAGGAAGGAATGTTTACAAAGCAATAATTGTATTTTGTCTTTCGAATGAATGTGGCTGTGATTAAAATACAGATGGATGTTTTACTCTTTTGAAGAGTGTGGTCTGTTGGATTAAAAATACGCTGAGCAGTGGGCTGAGGCCCTGCTTCTGAAATACTGCATAGGGAATTCCTAAATATCTTAGTGTAGGCTTCCAAAGGAATGAGATAATCCTTTTTCTTTCTGTACGTGCAAATTTACAGAAGATATCTGGCCTAGGAGGACTTCCAACTCAGAAACGCCCTCTCTTTTGGTTTCTGTTGTTTTCTCCTGTGTGTCACTCACAAAAGCAAAATGATCCACATAAGGACCTGACAATCTGCATTTCCTCCACCCCTGTGTTCCCTCCAAAGCAGATGGCTGACTGAGTCCCTGAGCATCCTCACCCATCCCAGCAGGTCCCTCATCCAGTGCTGTTCCCACTGCATCACCAAAGGTGAGGACTTCAGAAACATGACAGGAGCTTCCCTACATGCCTGTGAGCGTCCTTTACAACCAGTGTATTTCTCTGTGTTATTGGAGAAGAAGCTTTTCCTCCAGTATTGGGCTTTCTGCCCATCAGTTGCATTTTGAAACACTTCTGTGTACTGCTGTGAAGAGGTGTGAGGTACCTCTGGTTTGTATGAGTGTTGGGCACACCTCTGTGTGTGTGGCTATAACAAGGCATTTTAATGGAGCTAAACTGTAAAGGATGAGTAGAAAATCAAATAAGACCTAGCAGCAAAGATAAAGCAACCATCCAAACCTAACAGGGAAGATCTTGAAAGACTCCTTGGTTCCTCATTGATGGTAGATGTACTGGCAAAGCTGAGAAACAATAGAGAACAGGAATCATCCTGTCCTGAGAGGTCTCGAAGAAGTTCCCCAACCATTTTGGTGTAACTACCATTGCTCTTTTCTCTCCTGTTATCTCCTTGACACACTTCTTCTCCTGACATCCCGGCTGTAGCCCCAGTCTCCTTCTCCCTCCACACTTCAGCATTCGTGTCCATGAACATCACAGCCTGTTTCCTACAGAGCTACTAGGTCTCTGCTGCTGCCTCCATCCTCTGTGCCAGCCACCCCTGTGCCTCCTCCTGCTCAACCATGGGCACTGCTGCTCAAAAGCACATCAGCTGGAGCTTCCCTCTGCACCCTCAGCCCAAAATCTTCCCAACAGATATTTTCCTAACCTGCCTATGCAATCTCTTATGCTTGACATGACCCAGGAGTGAAATTAGCATCGCTGTTGAAAAGGCTTTTCACAAGTTCTGTTCGCAGTTTTCACTGTTGCTGGCAGATCCCATTAGCTCTTGCACTGTCCCTCCTAGCCACAGGGAGGAATTTCCTCCCCTTTCTCTTTAGATGCATTTTACCTAGCTGGAGATTGATGTTTTTTTTTTTCTTTAAGTTTTCACTTCTCTAGACCAACTAAAACCAAATTCTAAAGATTCTGAGCTGTTAAAGGTCTTTTGTTTGCAATATTTAAGGATGAATCACACCATCTGATCTAAAGGCTTGTCAAATCAACTGGAAGCCTTCCCACACTGGCATACATCCTAAACCAGGCAAAACCCTAAATCTCATCCAAGAGATAGAATCTCAGCCAGGAGACATTTCAGCTCTTATCAACATGTTATTTAAATGTTAAAAGACATTTCTTATCTCTATTCCAGATGAAAGAGTTTTATTCGATTTTTAATGCTTATTTACTTTTACTTATTTAGTTTCTTCTTTTTCCTATGGTTATATGCTTGATGAGGGGTTTGGCTTCTCAGGACTTACCCAGCCTTTCAGACTGTGTTGTGCACATTCATAAATCAGGCTGAAATATGCTGGAAATGCAAACAGCCAAATTCCACAGAAACATTGACCATTGATGCATGAAAACATGAAAAGCAAGGTCTGGGATTTTTGCCTTTCAAGTCCTAGTTGAAAATACAGAGAGTTAAAGCCAAAAATGTAAACTAAAATTGTTTATTTGGCCCTCTGGTTTGGTTTCTTTTTCTTTATTCATTTTGTGTGCATCAGTGTTATGCCAATCACACAGTGAAGCCTGGTGCCTGCAAATACAAGATGTCAAGAGCCAGGAGCACATGGAGGCCACTGCCTTTGCTCTTTTTAAATGAGCTTTTTGGAGGCCCCAGTAAGGCTTGTTGTTGTCACCTCTCCACCCTCAGAGGAGACACACCAACCATCACTTGGGAGGTTTTTGCTTTGAATAACTGCCTGACTTTGGCATTAGGTGATTTAATTTACTCTTACTGTGACCATTACTACTCAACTATGTAGTACGTGCTTGCTCGCTCAGTGGTATGTAGCAAACCAGCAATTCCAGCACCAACTAAACATGTTAGCAACAGCAGGCTAAAATCCCTTACAAGTGTCAACCTATGCAGTGTGACATATGTTGGGAGAGAATAATGACTGAATTACAATACTGTCATGGTTTTGCTTGGGATAGAGTTAATTTGCTCCCTAGCAGCTGGTACGGTGCTGTGGTTTGGATTTAGGATGAAAATAATGCTGATTGATAACACACTGATGTTTTAGTTGTTGCTGAGCAGTGCTTACACTAAGTCAAGGACTTTTCAGCTTCACTGGCCTGCATTGAGTAGGCTGGGGGGACATAAAAGCTGGGAGGAGACACAGCCAGGACCTGACTCCAACTGATGCAAGGGATATCCAGCACCAGATGGTGCCATGGTCAGTGCATGAACTAGGGGAAAGCTGGGCACAGGACCTTGCTTGGGAACTGGCTGGGCATTGGTCTATTAGTGGTAAGCAATCACTTGATTTGTGTATTTGTATTCTATTATTATTACTATCATCATTTACCCTTCCTCTTCTGTCCTATTAAACTGTTTTTATCTCAACACGTTAATTTTGCTATTTTTGACCCAGTTCTCTCCCCATCCCTCTGTAATGAGGGAGATCGAGCGAGTGGCTGTGTGCTGTTTAACTGCCTGCCAGGTTAAACCACAAGGGTTCTTTTTGGCATCCAACATGGGGCTTGAAGACTTAACAACAGATCTGACCAGAGCATATTAAAACAGATTTGTTATAAGCATTCATTATAATAGTAGAACAGTCCATGTTCGCAACGCTGATTTATTTGCTCTCAGAGCTGTTGCACATGTACTCAGAGTTGTGCTATCCAACACCCTACTTGCTGTATATGTTCTCTGTGGTGGTGTTTATCACCTCTAGGGGCTGGGTTAGGGTTACCCTATAGTTGTACTTTCCAGCACTGGTTTATGATATGATAAAACTGCTGGTCATGAGACTAATCTGGTATTTGTACTTAGCGTTTTCATCATCTCCATACTTTGGGAGCCATCTGTTGGAAACTACTAATAATAACACCTTCTATCTTTCCTCCTCAAAGGTCTAGTCTATGGCAGAGACACCTTCCTCCATCTTCCCCTTCTCCTCCAGGCTAAGTACAATAGCTCTTGAGAATTTGTACTAACCCCAGCTTGTTCAAACCACCGTGTTCCTATTGCTATGTCTCCTGAATGCTTAGGGCTAGACAGTTATTTAAGAGTACCAGCTACAGATCTGCACGCCAAGGCTGAATAGTTAACGAGTGGCAGGGTGTGTGGGATAGTATGGACAGTGGGCATCTCTGATTTGGAGAAAATGTTTTGGGATTTCAGCCATGAACAAGTGCAGAATCCTGAAAAAAATTGTAAAATATTTGGAAAAATGATGTTGTCACCCTGTAATTCCAGAGAAACAAATCACTGCAGCGTGCTGGGGCCTGGCCCACGCCTACTGAGTCTTGTTCAACGCTACTCAGTGCCCTCAAGAGGAAAACCAGCTCTCTGGGTCTGACAACAAAACAACAGGCACTGAGTTTGAATCAAAGAACCAACCCGTGCCGGTATCAGTCACCCCTATACACAAGGAGAAATATTGGAAGTCAGCTCATTTAGTAAGGGATGAAGGAGCTTCTAAGAGGGAGCAGGAGGAAGAAGCAGACAAGGCTGACTACTGTAAAGTAAGGCCATCACAAGAACAGGAGGGGAAAGAGAGGCAGACATTGATCAGGGAGAAGGAAGAGGAAAAACTCATAAAGGAGCCGGTAACCACCCTTACCCCTGAATGAGCTGCAAGATAGGTGAAAAGGTCTCAGCCATCTTCCAGACAAGCACATTGTCACCTGGCTGTTCCAATGCTGGGGTAATGGGACCAGTAGCCAAACAGCTGCGATGCCTGCCTAGGGAAGGGGCCATTGACAAAGCAATTGGAAAAGGGGCACAAGTCCTCAGCCCCTAGAGACTCCTGTCAGGGTTGAAGGAAGTGTATCCCTTCATGGGCTTTATGGGTTCCGGCCATTATGCTGTTTGTTCCCAGTGTTATCATGAAACCTATTTGGCCAGCATTTGGGGTTAAAGCAAAACTCAGAATTAAAGTTCTCTTTTGCTTGCTTGTATGCTGAATTTCCTGTGCTTTGGTGTCTTGTTTATCTTTCTATTCTAATTTTGGAGTATGAAGTAGATAACTCAACTCTGTAGTCCTCCTTCCCAGGAACATACTGTAAAAACATTTAGAAATGGGGATAAATAAACATTTTGTTTCTGGATCTCAGCTAGCAAGTAAATTCATTTTCCAGTTGTCAATAACAAATCCCCATGTAGATTGAGACAACAAAAAGCTAGTTTGGATTTGCAGACTATGGGTAAGAAAACACATTTTTTTCTTGCTTGCATTCTCTTCTCCCCATACCTAGCCATAGAAGCCCACAGATATTCATTGACATCAAGCTGAATTAAGCAGCTAAGCTCACAGTTCTGGCTTCGGTGTCCTTTAATGCCCAAGACTGAGCACTTGCACCAAATTCCAGTTAAATAACTCAATGAATATACTCTGGAGATCACTTGTCACTTGACTGATCATTTTGTTTCTATTAATAACTCCATCAGACTCACCAGCCATGAACAAACTGCTTACAGGATTGCACTAGAATCCACCTTGAGAATGAAATCATGGAGACAACCGCTGTAGATGGGGTGCTGAATTGTCCACCACCCTTAATAAACTCAGAGGAGACAGCAAATGCATTTCTT